GAAAGAGAAAAGAGTATAGAGAAAGCGAAAGGGAGGAGAGAGAAAAGAGAGAAGAAAGAGAGAGGGAGGGAGAGAGAAAGAGAAAAGAGAGAGTAAAGAGAGAGAGGGAGGAAAAGAGAGAAAGAGAAAAGAGTATAGAGAAAGCGAAAGGGAGGAGAGAGAAAAGAGAGAAGAAAGAGAGAGGGAGGGAGAGAGAAAGAGAAAAGAGAGAGTAAAGAGAGAGAGGGAGGAAAAGAGAGAAAGAGAAAAGAGTATAGAGAAAGCGAAAGGGAGGAGAGAGAAAAGAGAGAATGGGAGAGGGGGGTTACTAATTTATTAACTGCAGTGATTCACTTAACAACTGTGCCAAGAATGGTAATAAAATGCGGCAAAATTCACTTAACAAATCAACTTACAACAGAATCTAGGCTCGGTTGTGGTCGTAAGCCAAGGACTATCTGTACTTGCTATGCTCTTATCCTCCTTACAAACCTGTGAGGTAGGCCCCAGGAGAGAATCATTATTTCCATGAGCAGAAATTCAAATTCAATGCTCCATGTCACAAGCATAAAGATATTTCCGTCCTCTCCCTGACAAATCTCCAGTAATTGCATCTGTCTGATTTCTACCTGCATATTTCTGCTGATTCACATGCTAATTTTTTTTAAAAAAATGTAGAATACAAATTAATATGTTTCTTAAGAGTATTTCAGCATATCACTTACCACTGCCCGACTAAAAGCAGCATTTTTTTCTTCCTTGCTGGACTCTCTTCCTCTCCAGACATAGATTTTCAAACCTCCCTGGTCTATAATGTGACAATCCTACAGAAGGAGAAGGGGAAGAAGGAAGAAGAAGGGAGACAGGAAGAGATAAGAGAAGATGGACATGGAGGAGAAGGAGATAGATAGTCAATGAGGAGAAGGACGAGATAAAGAAGAGAAGAAAGAGAAGAAAAAAGATAGACAAGAAGGAGAAGATTGACAAGGTGAACAAGGAGAAGGTGATATGAGAAGAAGAAAACAGGAAAGGAGGAGATGGACAAGGAGGAGAAGATAAATGAGGAGGAGGAGAAGGGAAAAGACAATGAGAAGAAGGAGAAGGAGAAGATAGATAAAGAGAAGAAGAAAAAGGAGAAGATTGACAAAGTGAACAAGGAGAAATAAATAGACAATGTGTAGAAGAAAACAGGGAAGGAGAAGATGGACAAGGAGGAGAAGATAAATGAGGAGGAGGAAGAAAAAGACAATGAGAAGGAGAAGAAGGAGAAGATAGATAAAGAGAAGAAGGAAAAGGAGAAGAAGATTGACAAAGTAAACAAGGAGAAATAAATAGACAATGTGTAGAAGAAAACAGGGAAGGAGAAGATGGACAAGGATGAGAAGATAAATGAGGAGGAGGAGAAGGGAAAAGGCAATGAGAAGAAGGAGGAGAAGACAGATAAAGAGGAGAAAGAGAAGAAGAAGATTGACAAAGCAAACAAGAGAAGTAGATAGATAATGTGAAGAAAAAAACAGGGAAGGAGAAGATAAACAAAGGAGAGAAAAAGAAGGTAATAGACAAGGAAGAGAAGAAGAAGATAGACAAGCAGGAAAAGATTCACCAGAAGGACAAGTGATAGACAATGGGGAGGAGAAGATTGACATGGAAGAGAAGAAGATAGGCAAGTGGGAAGAGAAGAAGGTTGACCAAGTGAACAAGGAGAAGTAGATAGACAATGTGAAGAAAAAAACAGGGAAGGAGAAGATAAACAAAGGAGAGAAAAAGAAGGTAATAGACAAGGAAGAGAAGAAGAAGATAGACAAGCAGGAAAAGATTCACCAGAAGGACAAGTGATAGACAATGGGGAGGAGGAGAAGATTGACAAGGAAGAGAAGAAGATAGGCAAGTGGGAAGAGAAGAAGGTTGACCAAGTGAACAAGGAGAAGTAGATAGACAATGTGAAGAAAAAAACAGGGAAGGAGAAGATAAAGAGGAGAAAAAAGAAGGCAATAGACAAGGAAGAGAAGAAGATAGACACGCAGGAAAAGGTTCACCAGAAGGACAAGGAGAAGGTGATAGACAATGGGGAGGAGGAGAAGATTGACAAGGAAGAGAAGAAGATAGGCAAGTGGGAAGAGAAGAAGGTTGACAAAGTGAACAATGAGAAGTAGATAGACAATGTGAAGAAAAAAACAGGGAAGGAGAAGATAAAGAGGAGAAAAAAGAAGGCAATAGACAAGGAAGAGAAGAAGATAGACACGCAGGAAAAGGTTCACCAGAAGGACAAGGAGAAGGTGATAGACAATGGGGAGGAGGTGGGTTCCCACCTGTTCAGACTGGTTTGGCCAAACTGGTAGTGGTTTGGCAGTCTGGGCCGCTGGAACCGGCAGCAACCCAGTTTGAGAATTTAGTGTAATATAAAAAATGCAAATACTTTTCCTGCGGACCACCAAAATTTTCTCACGGACCAGCAGTTCACGACCGCT